TTCCTCTGTATCTGTTTGATTCTGCTTCATGCCATCTATTTCCTTCCTGTATTGCTCATTGAAGGAATCTATCATATTTCTAATCTCTTATTTTTTTTTATCAGTGTCTTCTTTATAAGAAGTTATTCTTTTACTGCAGAGTTTTTTTCAGATTGGGTTTCCTCCATATGTTTCTGTATTTGATTCTTCAGATGGTATGAATTCAAAGATTTCTTTTTTTATTTCAGAAATTAATTCTGCTCTGAGTTCCTCTCTACCTTTCTGCTGTTGTTTCTTTACTTGTGATGCTGTTCATTCATACACTTCAGCTGAGCTAGTGTCTTCTGTATTTGTTCTGGGTGGGCCTTGGGTTTCCCCCATATGTTTGTGTATTAGATTCTTTACTTCAGATTCTATGAATTCAGAGATTTCTTTTTTCATTTCAGGAATTAATTCTGCCCTGAGTTCCCCTATAACTTTCTGCTGTTGTTTCTTTACTTCTGGTGCTGTTAATTCATTCATTTCAATGAGCTGGTGTCCTCTGTACTTGTTATGGGTGGGCTCAACACCTGAGATTGCATTTTGCTCCTTGTCTTTGTCATTTTGTATAGCACTGACCTCTGCCCTTTGGTGTAGAACTTTGGTGCAGTTATAACCTTAGTGCCTACTGAAATTCGGTTGCAGATGTATTAAGTTTGAGTTTATCCAGTTATGCCTGTCCTGGGTCTAGCTGTTGTGTTCAGCTCCTTCCTGTTACAGCCCTTGGAAGTGAACCTGTTGTGCCCCTCTGGCACAACAGTGAACCTGTTGTGCCCCAGGGAGCACAGGGGAGCGCAGAAGCTCTCCCACACGCTAGCTGTGTCTGGGCTTGAGTTGGATCTGGGGGTCCCGAGAGAGTCGCTGAAGTTCTCACTCACTCGGTGGGCTTGGGGGCAGGGGCTCCAGAGGGTTGCAGGGGTCTCAATGGCCCTGTAGAGGGTATCACTCAGGCGGGTGCCTGAGTTTTGGTTTGGAGGAGTCCCAGGGGCGCAGGGAAGCAGGATGCTCTCCCACACACTCATTGGGCC